AATGTTTATGATCGACTATTCTGAATGCTTTATTTTTCGATTAAATTGTCACACATCGTGACAAAATAGTTCATATAAAAAATATATAGAGGTTGACCATCTAAATTTCTATGGATTCCTTTGATTTAATTCAGCATTGAATGCGCTTCGCCTGTTTAATAGATAGGTAGGTTTATATGTGAAGAATAGTCATATTTAAAATTGGTAGTCCTTTTTTTATGTAATAGGAGGCAAACGGGGCGGGAAGGGTCGCAAGTGCGTTGCCAGTCTTTCAGGAATTGGTACACTCTTTTCTTGAAGGACCCGAATTCGAATTGGTTCGGAATTACTTCAGTGGGCAGCTGGTTCCACATGAAAGTGCGCGGCAAAACTGCCTTAAAAAACGCTCAGTTGTGGAACGACGGACGTAGAGGTGATACGGGTTTTTCGTATTCTGCCTTGACGTCCGATGATGAAACTCAGCTGCAGGTATTAGACTGAACAACTCCTCTGAACACTCTCCATGGAAAATGTGGAAGAAGATGCAGAGGGACCCCACATCTCTACGCTTAGTCTTAGTTTTCGCAATAGGCCAACTTCATTACTACATTTTCAAAATGTCCAGTTATGCAAGTACCACACATGGTATAAATGACGTAAGCCTGCCACACAAGAGCTCAAAGAGAAAGTACAATGTATAATATCAATAAACAAACAATGCCATAAAAAATCGTACGTCTCCTTAATCACTCAATTAAACGTACAGAACCAAAGATCATAAATAACTGCGCCGGCGCTGATTCCTCAGATTTTATGAGTTGTTCGGAAAGTTGTATCGCCACAAAAAACTGGCTACGGTCTCAGGCCCGGGTGTTTGAATTTGGCGACTTTTTCCCGCTAATATTAAGATGCACTTTGTCTCTCATTCACATACTTTAACTGGTAAGTTAAATTATGTCTGCTTGATCGTTTATCGACGGTTTAAAACCTAAGGCGATATTTTTTTCAAGAATTTTGGCTCTTTTCTTACATCCAATTAAACTTTGCCAACGTTGAATATACAAAAATATTATTATGAACATTTTCACCTTAAAGCAATGCATTTAATATTCATTTTTAATATACCTGTTCCGTTCATATAATGGCTATACGTAATCCATCTTTCCACATAATGATCGCTGATTAAATCCTTAACGGAGTAAATTTCAGTATAATGTCATGTCATTTCGGCGGTAAAGTAACCCAATACCTTGGAGGCAACCTACTCAGCCTTCAATGCTAAAATTGACGAGTTGTATTGTGCGCCACATTGTTATACGATACGCTTTACAGTTTATTAAACTTGCTCATCGTTACGGTACATTTTTAATTTCTATTCGCTTCGTAAAACAAGAAAATTCGTTACATATACTAACATTATGAACACATCTAACGTTAAACACATACCAAAATTTAAGAGTACAAATGAACTATTTGAACTGAAACTGCAAGACAATAGTCCTATTTTGATAACGAAAGACGTATGAATGGACGCAGGTGACGCGTTGACAATTTGTCAGATGCTGTCACTGGAATGAAATGATGACGGGGTGGACGCGTGATTAGGAGTGATGCCAACGCGCTGAAATGGCCTTTCAGTTATAGACTGATTGGATATTTAGCTAGCAACAACTCTTGGAACCAATGCTTTGATTAGCTTTATTAATAATCTGTGATATCAAGTTCGGATGTATAAACGAGCTTGAATTCTTCTTTGATCATATTTGCAATTGTTTATCTACGTTACACTTGCTTGCTTAAGAAGTCGGTAAAAATTTGCACGATATTTTGACTCATTTTGGTCTGAAAACGAATCAGATGCAACTCTGCACATTGCAGAGTATTACTTAAATGGTTAAGGTGTAATAACGTAACACATACAACTTACATGTATAATTATAACAAAACTAAAATTTGCGTTCTCAAAGCAGACATTGTATATTCAAAATAGCCCATTCAAGAAACAATTAAAAACAAAGAGTTGGCAGAGGACAGGAATTTGGTCAATCAGGTATCAACATTTCTGCCAATTACGAAATGCCGGCTTGGCACACGATGACATCAATGTCAATTCGGAATTACATGCATTCTAGGTCACCTGTGTTCTGTCTTAACCACCAGTCGATCACGCATTTTCCCTACAACTAAGTCCTTTATTACAGTGGAAACGTGAAATATTTCTGTTTCAAAAGGTATTTAAAAAGACTTGCCTTTATATCTCACTAGCGAGCAGTGTTAGTTAATGTCGTTTCGTGATTCACGAATTCCAGAAGGAAAGTCAGTAAGAAGACTGGCATCTTCTGTTGGACATGTAGTTAATCACCTTCTTGTCTAATGCCCTTATCTCTTCATCTAACCCTTGCTCTATATGAGGCATACCTATACCCCCGAGACTTCACTCTTATGTCCACTTTTTTCTTTACTTTTGACAAAAGATTATCATTACATTTTTTAGGTTATATTATGAAAACGGCAAACAATAACAATTATCATAAGGCAGTGGAATCCGCCAATTAATTTTGAACACAATGACGTAACACATCATTAACGAACGTTAAATTATGAAGAATTCCAATTAAAATATAAATGTATACGAGACTTTTATAGACAATGAATTGGTAGAAAATGCAACAAGGAATATTGGTAAACAAACATAAAATCCTGGTACACGCGCGTCTTTTGATCTCCCGCAAGTAGCTAGTTAAATTTTGATTGTTTTTCTCGAAATATATTATATTTTCCGACTCTTCTATCATGGAAAGGAGTGCAAACATCAGTCGTCCAACGGTTGATCCATTACAAAATGCATAAAGACAAACAAATATATCGTAGAAATTTTTATGGAAAGCGTTTAAATGAAATCATACGGGGTTTAAAATATCTCCAAACACGGTAATAGTTTTATATTCTATGTTTTCTGTGTATATTTTTTGTTTAGCATAAATAAATTTATTATTGACTGACAATTGCGAACTGTGGGTTCAGATCTCGTATGGTGTCTTGTTGATTTACGAACGCGTCCGACTCGTAATGAGATGCGCCGACTGTTATGCGCATTTGTAAATTAACAATACGTTAGCTTCTTGTTTTGCTTTTTTGCTCGACTCGGAGGGTGATAATGTTTTTCATAATTGCAATTAAGCTAGACGTTCCAGCTTTTATTTATTATCATGGAATATTGAACTTTAAAGCTTTTCGAATACGTTTTTATAGTTTTTTATATTACATTAAAACCGCTTGTCTGAAAACCATCTTTTGTTTAATTTGTTTTCATTATTATTGTACATTGTGTGACTACAACTAATAAGGAAAATTACCCAACTATATTTCACTTATAAAGAAATAAATTACCTGCCTCATAACAAGACGGCAGAGGCCACATCAAGGGATCCCTAAGGGATCTATTTTCGGGCCCTCTCAGTTTACAAGCTATGTATTTCTTATAGAACTATCTAGTGGTATTCTAGTATCATGTGCGATACACATCTTAGAAGCAAAACGAGACATGAATATCCACTTTTAACTAAAACTTTTTGTAATTATGAGTTTCGAAGTAGGCAACGAAGAATGTTTAATTTAAAACGTAACGAAAAGAAGGGATTTAATGAACGAAAGTGTCACTTTCTAAACTAACATTTCTCGCTAATAATAGCCTAGATCCACCCTTTAAGAGTTCCCGACAAATAGAACTAACAGACAGACGATCCATCACAGATCCCCCTCTATATATTATTTATGGGACATCCTGCTACCCATGGCTAATCTTTCAATATCTTGAGAAATTCGGGATCTGAACATGGGGTCCGTTGCATTCCAACAAAGTCTAGACGATGCAAAAACCAATCTTCCTCTGCAGGAAATTAGGACTATATTAGCTAGCGCTTTAGACGCTTTTGACCGCAAACCTAATAATTCAGTTATTGTAGACATTATGGTAGAGAAAATAGAGTTTAATTTTCCGTGGCTTAGAGCGTGAAACACAGTAGGAATAATTGCAGGATTTGTTTGTTTTGGTGCGGTAGGAAAGTAATGGCTTTGCATTGAAGGAGAATTGTAATTAATAGTTGTTTCTTAATGAATTTGCGCTATGACGGCCACTCAGCGGTAATTTCGGTGATGTAATTATACTTGTATATGAGTGCGGAGATTTTTTTATTTCACTAGCATTTTACGATGTTGAATCATCTGTATGCTGTAGTTCGTGGTGATTCTTACAAGAATTATTCAAAGTCAAAGTCAAATCATTTATATCAATAAGGCCTATTAAAACATCAAGTTAAAAATATTAAAAATGACTAGTTGCCCCTTCCAGAAGGTAGTTTCATATGAAGAAGAATGGGCAAGAAACTCCATACTTACTCTTTTAAAATAGTTTTTTCAATATTTTGTATACATTGATTTGATATGTGAAGACCATGTATCTAGAACAAAAAAATACAATACTTAAATAAAATAGTCGTATGGTGTTACAAAAAACAATGCAGCATATAACTGTATTATACATGGTGCTCACATATTTATTTATTGTTGTCTAGATTAAAGTGACGCATACATTTACGTGAAATCTATTTTCTAGATCTAAAAAATTTGGTACTGAACTGAAACAGATATTAAATTTTGAGTGGCACCGTTCAAGATGTTTAATTTACTATGAGTGATAATTTATCAGCATCTCTAAGTACTGCTGCCCGACTTAAGAATTCTATTAGGCATGCAATCATCATAAGCAAATCCTGAATATTATTGGCCAATAAGGTTTGTATTTAATTGACGTAAATACCAAATGCACTCTTACTAAAGTGTTTCTAATGATAATCCGACACGCGATTCTCGTCTTTGTGTGAAAATGAAAGTAATGTTAATTTATTAACTGAGACTGCATTGCGTGAGACGATTTTCTAAAGAAAAATTATTTCATGTGGATTAGTACGGAATAGATAACTCAAACTCTATATTATGCCAAAATTCTACGTTATATACAATCATGATTTATCAACAATGACATCAGTGGAGGTGGGAATGTGTACTTCCAACCTTAAGGATCCCTGAGCATTGACCACTGTCTGTTTACTGCCGTCGGTAACACTTTGATAACGCGATTCAGATTTCACTTCTGTATCTTTCCATTGATCAGTTCTCTTCATGGGTTCAGCTGTGGTTCAAAGTCCATCATCATCATCAGTTATACTTGGAGCATCTCTATTTTGCCCGTGCTAGTTTCTCTTGATCCTCATAATACAATGAAACACATAGAAGATTTTGTGAAACCTGAAAAATTACAATCCTTAACCAAAATTACGTTGACATTTTGTAAGATCTATTTAATATCTCGATCTTCGCTTGTCACTACTTGATTTACACGTGCTCGTAAATCTCTCGGCTCGTAAAAGTAACAAATATCCGAATATAAATTGTTTGATATTATCTCTGTTTGACCGATAATGCTATCAGTTGTGAAGTTTACGTTTTGTTTGTCTCACTTGGGTCAGTGAAGAACTGTGGTCACAAATCTTGATACCTCAACGAGAATTGTGACCACAGGTACGTTGTAGTAGAGATTTTGGGTCATTGTTTTTGAGTGTATTTCCTAAGAGATTATAATTTACACATCTCATACAATCTAATTTTTTTAGTTTTGTGCTTAAGAAATGTGAAAACGTTACGTTTGAACAACTCTACAGATTTTTATGCTGTTTAAAGAAATATGGGTAATTTTAATTGTACGCACATTATCATTCCCGCAGAGCAGTGATGGCCGTTGTTCGATCCCCGGCTGTGCACCAATGGACTTTCTGTCTATGTGCGCATTTAATATTCGCTCGAACGGTGAAGTGAAGTGAGGAAACCGGCTTGCCTTAGACCCAAAAAGTCGAGGGCGTGCGTCAGGCACAGAAGGCTGATCACTTACTTGCCTATTATATTAACAAATGATCATGAAACAGACACAAAAATCTGAGGCCCAGACCTAAAAAGGTTGTAGCGCCATTGAATAATTTTTATTTTTTTATCATACCCTGATGTGTTGTGTGGGTTTTTTATTATGAACTAATTTGATATTGACAAGCGAATACTGTTATAAATTCTGAGAAAAGGAAAAAGGCTTTTTAGTATAAAAGTCATTGATTTTTAACAAAAAGCTTTTCCAAGTTAAAAAACTTTCCAATACTAATAAAATATACTTACAAAGTTCGACAAATTGTCGCGTTGTGTGAATCGGAGACCTGACAATTGATTTTTGTTATTCACTGCGAGATCCAAAGTTTTTCCACCCCAAGGCTTTTACAGGAAAACTTGGGGTATCTTTAAAACCATACATCGTTTTCACTTTGTATAAAAACCGACAAAAGATTTTGAAACAAAAAAATACATAAAAAATTTCAAGACTTAGTTTTACGTCCAGAGTCGTCTTACTTGGATTTCTTTTAGTCCTCGCTAGTGAGAGCCCTGGTTGAGCACAAATTAAGGAAGAACTGATGTGGAAACCAGCCAAAACCCAAAGGTCGGCGTCAGCGGCAACAAAGAACATTGAAAGGAAATTTCTCTCTACTTAATAAACAGTGACCTGTCCCTACTTGGGGCTAGAATTTGTTTTTAATATTTAGGAAATAAATTAATCCTACATGAGATTATCAATCTAATACATCCCCTTCTAAAAAAACCCCAAAAATGTATTTATATTATTTGTTTGAAAGTTTGTCTGTTTAATACACTTATCGGACGTAACTTCAATCATACTTGCCCAAACTTTGTAAGTGTCCCAAAGTAAATTGATTTGTTTCAAACTTTTCCGGTTTAAATATTGAAACGACATTTCTCTATGAAATTTTTTCTTTTTATGTGGGGAAAACTTTTCGTAAAACAGGGGTTGTCTTATGCAGTGTTTTAAAAAGAACGTTCCAAAATAATTGATAATGATTTCAAAAAACGGTTGTAAATACAAATGTATTAATTATTTAGAAAAGTTTTAAAATAAATATGTTTATTATGGAACATATGATACAGGTATCACTTATTCCACTTCATTAAATTAATTAATTCCTACTCATCGGTAAAGAAGACAGAGGATGTAGGCCGAGAGAAAAAGCCAGCTAAAAAAACTCTCGGTAGTCTTTTAAAATATTAAATCATCAAACAACACTTATTTTAAAACAAATATCGCAAATGAATTAGAAGTAGCCTGTCTAGCACTAGTCCTTTAACAACTAGATAATCGTTAACTTTACAGTAAGCCTTTTTACATAGCTTTTCTTTAATACATTTCTTAAAACTTGACTTTAGTTAAGTTTGTAGTAAGAAAATTATTTTTTCTGTGAATAAAATTCTATGTCATTTAAGCAGCATCTCCTGGACAGGCGTACCCTTCATTAGGACATCTCACTTGACATCAGGTGGGATGTGTCAAATGTCTGTCCAGTTCTGTATAATAAAAAACAAAATCAATAGGTTCAATCCAATACACGCCTTGTAAAACTTCAAGTTGTAAAGTCTATTAAAAAGGCCACAAATTGCATACACCACATAAAAGCCGTTCCCCATTGACGGACATATTATTGTGGCTCAATTAGCCTATACTTAAGTACTTTTGTTAAACGATTATTTGAATTTTAAGTGTTTGTTTGTAGGGTGAACTTCAATAGGCTTTTAACCTACTTTAAGTGGTATTATTAAACATATAGGTAAATTTATGTAAATTAAATGTAAGTTATAATAATAATAATAGCCTTTATTGCTTATCCTAGTACCTACATAAAAACGTGAAGTATTATAAATACTACTAATTAATCGGCAAGCCGGTTAATTTCTATCTTACAGCTTGTCTTTGGACATAGGCATCCTCTAAAAGCTTCCACTCTACACCGAGAAGAGTGGAAGCTTTACGTAGCCTCATAGGGCCAGCTGCTCTTCTTATCAACTTCCCATCTTTTTATTTGTCTTCCTCGTTTCCTTTGTTAATAAAAATGTTTCATTTAGTAAGGAAGTATACGCATTATGGAATTAATTAAACATAAGCAGTAGGTTATCATATACTTATAGTTATTTTATTTAAAACAATTTAGTAGATCAAGGATCTTTAGGTATATGTATTTTAATTAAGGAAAAATATGTTTCAATCATCCAATTCACCTAAAAACAGAAAACGCGATATCCAATACGAATTTGCCCCACATTTTTCTGCCCCAAATAAACGCGCAATTAAAATCGGCTCGCAACCCGTCAGTGGTACATGACAGGCAAACAATCGAACCCACTACCGCACGCGTACACCACTGAACAATCCCCATTGTAATCAACCCCAAAGTTTTTCCCTATTTGTTTTGGTGCGGTAATTATTGTTTGGTTTTCTTGTGAATTGTGGTCCTTAATAGCCCCTTAGACGGATTTATTTGTAATTTCGTTTGAGTGTTCCTGGCGTTAATACGCTGTTGATTACGATTCGGGGGTGTAGGTAGCGGTGTTCTGTCGGATGGGTGACCGGAAGTGAAGATTATTGGTACTTACAATATTGTAGTAAATAAGAGAGTTCATTACTTATTATTAAAGGTAGATTAAAGTAGCCTGTGTGTTACTGTGGTAACGATGTTATTTATACATAAAAGGAATGATAACGAGTTAACTTGAAACACGGCCTACGGCTGTAAAAGTCGGATTTTTTTTCAATTTAAAGTTCAACTAATTACGTAGTACATAAAGATGAACTCTCCGAGCCTTTGGCGTTGCGTAGAGATGTGGGGTCACTCTTCATCTTCTACCGCATTTACCATGGTTCAGAGGAGTTGAACGGATTAATACCTGCAGCTGAGTTTCATCATCAGAGGCAAAATTCCACTCATATCACCTCGACGTCCGCCGTTCCACAACTGAGCGTTTTTCAAGGCAGTTTTAGCCGCGCATCACCACTATCTGGAACCAGCTGCCCACTGAAGTATTTCCGAACCAATTGACTTAGGGTCCTTCAAAAGAGCGTACCAATTCTTATAAGGCAAGCGAACTTGCGAGCCTTGGCAATGTGAGTGTCCATGGGCGGTATCACTTAACATCAGTGAGCCTGTCCGTTTGCCCCCTGTTCTATAAAAAAAATCCTGGGTACGTTTCTCTAAATTTTGATATGAAATATACATTTAATGTTTAATTACCTACCTTTTATAAAGTGAAAATTCTCTCCCTAAAATTAACAAACTAATTAATTTGTTCACCCAATAAACAAAGCCATCCAATTAAATCACTAAACGTAATAATACTAATTTATACACAACTACGCCGTAAAAACAATTAAACTAATTCTAATGTTACAAAAGTAATTAGTAATCGTTGCCCGTTCTCAATTGAAACGGAATCTAGACAATCTGATTTAAATAACATCACTATAAAAACATTACGCATTCAAATTGCCCGCCGGAAATGCGTAGACGCTTCCTAAGGTGCCCACAGATTATAATAAGTGCCACACTTGTTGCTATGTATAGATTAAACATGCTTGATAAAATTGTCTATGACATAGACTAAAATAGACTTGAATTAATTATCTATTACGTTATTAAATTATGTATCAGGCATTCTCTATGTTAAGTTTTTGGCCTTTCACACAAAATATTCCCCTGTTCTAAAGAGCGGTAATATAAATTGTCAATCTTAGCTGTCAAACTTATTAAATGTCAATGAGTAGTTCTGTCAGTTCTGTCGAGTATATATTATTGCACAACTAGTGACTTGTAATAAAGCCTCATTTTCTCAAATAAAGGGTAAAAACTTCCAGAGATTAGGCGAAGACAGTTCTGTCGTCAAAGACAATAGATTTCATTATATCTTGGAACGTCTTGACCGCATTGAATTATTTATGTCCCGTTCCGTTACATTGACTGGTTAATGAGGTGTGTTCATGTGTTTGTCTAGTTAATATTAATACCCCGTGTCTGCCTTATGTCTGATGGCCAAGAGATTTTTATTTGCTTAGTACTGTAATTCCACAATATGATACTTGTATATCAAAGGACATCAGTGGCGCTACAACCTCTTTAGGTCTTGGCCTCGGATTTCTAAATCTGTTTCATGATCATTTTTAAATCTAATAAGCAAGTAGGTGATCAGCCTCCAGTGCCTGACACACGCCATCGACTTTTTGGGTCTAAGACATGTCGGTTTCCTCACGATTTTTTTTTCACCGTTCGAGCAAATGTTAAATGCGCACATAGAAAGAAAGTCAATTGGTGCACAGCCGGGGATCGAACCTTCGACCTCAGGTATGAGAGTCGCACGCTGAAGCCACTAAGCCAACACTGCTCTAAATTCGCTTTGTCTATTAATAAAATTTCATAAATCACTTGCGCTACAACCTTTTTAGGTCCGGGCCTCAGATTTCTGTATCTGTTTCATGATTATATTTCAATCTAAGGCGTTAAATACGCACATAGAAATAAAATCCATTGGTGCACAGCCGGAGTACGAACTTCGGGAATGAGAGTCACGCCCTGAAGCCTCTTGGCCAACATTACTCTTGGAGTAATATTGCTAAACTAAATTAGTTCACTGTCTCCTCCTAGAACTTACCAGAAGAAATTTCGTGATAATTAAAAGTTCCAAAATACTTAAGTTTATTTCTGACTATAACAAAAAAAGATATAGCTACTATTAATCCAAATCTTTTAATTAAACAAAACGAATGGTTATAATGGTTTAAAGCCAGTCCAAAATCAATGTCTCTGCGGGGCGCAGGCCACATGCCACGATTATTCGATGCTCTTTTATGGACCTTAAAAAAACTGCCATTTTATGGATCAAGTTTTAATCTTTTTTGTATTTTTTATGATTTAGATAACGATGTTTTTAAATGCGTATTAAAAGTCAGTAATTTCTTGTAAAATTCTTTATAATAGTTTATTATTAAGGTACCTATAGGCATGAAGTTCATGTTTTAAAATAAAAAGCGAAACAGCCTGTCTTATTCAAGACTCAAAAACAGAGTGTCTTTCCCTTAACAGAGACTGTAAATAGTGTTATTGGACACTTTCTTATATTAAATATTGTTTTTAGAAGTTTTAAGTTAGGATCGTAATGTTCTCTCTTTGTGCAAAGACAAGTTTTGTTTTTAATTTAAAAAATTACATTATAATAGACACTTAAACTATCGTCTATGATAAAAAGTTTTTTTTTTAAATTACATATTACTCATTAAACTTCTACAATAGCAGCTTAAAATAATAATAATTATTAAAATAACATTTTATTTTCATACGAAGGGTATACTTTACTACTTGCTTTTTACTGATTAAAAAACGTCTTGTTAAACAATATATGTAACGAGATAAGCCGAGTTTTGACGCATTGAATAGCTAATCAGTGGTAATTGTTGGGGTTTGGGGGCAAATGATCGGGTTACTATTGTATGCGTGTGAAATGCTGGCCCCAATAAATTCTGATATAATGAGTTGTATTTTGAATTAGTTTAATAATTGTTATAACGCCGCTGTATTTAATAATTAACTCAAAGTTAATTCTGATAAACCATAAGTAACATCGATCAAGACACGA